AATATAAATAATAATAAAGAAAGAATAAATAAAATTATAAAGAAAATAATTAATTAAAAATATTAATAATCTAAATTAATAATTGTGATACACATGGTGATCATCTGAGTAACAATGTGCTAAATCTAGATATATTAAATATATAATGATCATCTGTATATCCAGAGTGAAAATGATCTTCTTAGAAATGTAATACAAAATTAATCTATTATACAGATAGTGTAAAATAAAGATCTAAGCTAAAAGAGATCTAAAGAAAGATAATCTAATCAAAATTATTACAAATAGATAATATTATCAAGATTAGACTAGTCAGAAAAGAATAACTAAAGACAACAAAATTATCTTATATTTATGAAATTTGATTTTTTGTTGAATCTGATCACATTGCACAAGAAAATCTGTTAACTATTAAATAATATGTATAATAATCAATAACATTAGGATCTGTCTCTTTTTTCTTGCACAAAGTGTACTCTGGCACCATTTTCTCTTGTCACAATCCTCTTTTACTAAGAATCTACTAGATTTCTTTAGGCTAATCATGCAAGTTGACATTGAATTTTGTCTTCTTGTTATAAATGAAGTAATTTTCTTTAATAACTATTAATTGATAACTATCACTCCATGTTGTATCTCATATTTTGGAACTGATCCTTCTAGATTAAGATTCATTTTCAAAATTACAAGAGCATCTTCAGCAAAAACTATATGAAAAGTAATATTATTGAAGACAAATATACTTATATTCTCTGGATATATCTATTTAAAGATATTTATCATCTGTATAACTTATTCAAGAAGTTTTCTGAAGTTTCAAAATCTATTTTGATTAGTACCAAGTATTATTATTATACATATCTCTTTCTATTTATCTTTAAGTGATTCTATTATCTCTATTAAAAAATTATTCATATGCATATCAAGATTCAATTTTTTTTTTCATAATAACTATTCTTCTTCAGGATCTCATACAGTATGTGATCTATCATAAATATGGAAGATTAATTTATTATGAATTACTCATATATACTCTTTCTCATTATTATTCAAATATGGAAAAGTTCTTATCTTATAATCTTCATCAAGTCACTTGAATATAAGTCAATTAAATTTAGTAATTTCTTGAAAAAAAATTTGATAATAGATAATAACATCAGGCCATTCATATCTATCTGCGTAGATATTTTTTTAAAGATATTTATACCAAAAATCAAGTTTATACATCTATTAATAAGTGATTCAGATCAAGATATGTTAGACAGATTCAATATTCAATTAGGGAAGGATATGCTACTCAAAATATTTCTTGACTATTATTAGATCTATCTTAAACTTTTGAATATGTAGATAAGTAGCTAATTAGAGAGAAACCAGCTCATCATGAAGTAGACTTTTGGAGAGAAATCTCCCTCAAGTGATTAGCTAGATTAATTTCTCTTTCATGCAAATATTTATTCACTTTCTTACACATTTCACAAGTCATGATCCACTATTGATTATCTTTAAAATCATTTTCACTATCTCAATTTTCTTTTTATTATTAAGCTACAATTAAAAAAAATAAAGAACTGCCATATAATAAGTAATTTGAGTTTTAAAAAGCATTTTATCAAGCATTACTCTATTCATAAATTTAATCATCTTGCATATATTTTCATCTTTAGTTAACTCTGATTCAATACTGTTATCACTTCCAATATCTTTATTAGTAATATAGAAGAATTGTGAAATTTTTGAACTTTCTGCTATCACTTCTCTTAATTTTTTATTTTTTCTTTGCTATATCTATTTTGAATTACCAGTATAAATAGTTAGATATCCTTTTTTTTCAAAACTTACTATTACTGTTGCAAAAAGCTGATTATTATAGAATTTCTATTTGTCTCAATATTATCTAACTTGTTATTATCCTCTTGGAGATCATCTTTGAGATCATTATCTTCAAAATTAATATTTTCATATTTCTTACTTGAGTCAAGATTAATAAGATTCTTAGAAGAAAAAATATTTGAAGAAGTGATAATATGCAAGTATTCTTTGCTTGAATCAAGATCAACTAGATTCTCAGGATGAAAGTAAGCTATAGATAGATCAATAGAAGAAAGAGAATTATAGAGAGAATCAAGAACAAGAAAGAATTTCATATATGCTAGCCAGACCAAGTGAGCTACAAATATTCTTTTCTATTAGTATCTTTTAAGCTTTGAAAGTCTTGACATAATAAGAGAATGATGTTCTTAAAATAATAAAACAAACCTCTTAACAATAAAATAATCATCTTAATCTAATAAAATAACTCTTCTCAGCATAATAAAATAATCCTTTCAAAATGCATGCTTTTTAAAGTATGCAGTATTACTAAATATTTTGAAAAGTATGCATTATTACTGTATACAGCCCAAATTAGTATTATAAAAATGTCAGCCTAAATTATAATTAATATAATTAATTCTGACTAATAAAATCACAAACATGTGATATAAATACATGCAAAGTTGATATATCTTTGTGTCAATTTTTCAACTTTATTATAAAAATTAAAAAGTTTGATATACTATAACTTCTTAAAAAAAATTAAAATAAAAAATATTCTTACAGAATTATAACTTTACTAAAAATCTATCAATTTGTAAAAGGATTTTTTATTTTAGTTATTTGCTCAAAAGTTATAAGATTTTCTGTAAGCCAGTTAAAAGTGAATATTTTATATTATCTCATACTATAGAAATAATAATTGATATAAGATAAAAATAAAAAAAATTATCAAAGATTAAAATAAAAAAGAATATTTATAATAATATAATTAAAATTATAAGATTAAGAATAAAGATAAATTAATAATAATATAAAAAATTTAATAATATAAAAGTATTTTTTAAAAAATTTATATATTAAATATAATAAATTATTTAAATTCAAAATTTTTTTTAAATTATAATTCTTATTAATTTTATTTTTTTATATAAAATAAAACTAAAAATTTAATTTTTAAAATTATTAGTTCAAATTTTTTTATATTATTAAAAATTATATTATAATATAATATTAAATTTTATAAATTTTTTATTTAATAAATTATTTTATTTTATAAAAATTTTATTATTATTTTACTAGTATATTAATATTAATATATATATAAAATTCTTTAACAAATAATAAATAAAGTATAATTATTAATATTTTTTAAGTTCCTAAAAATATATTAAATAAAAATAATATTTATATTATATAAATATGATATTTAATATTAATAAAATAATAATTAGTTAGATATTATATAATTAAAATTATAAAAATAATAATAAATTTATATTTTATAAAATTATAAATTATAATAATTTTGATTAAGTTATCTTTCTTTAGCTTAGATCTTTATTTTATATTATCTATATAACAGATTAGCTTTATATTACTTTTTCTTAAAGATCAATTTTACTCTGAATATATAAATAATTATTTATATATTTAATATATTAGATTTAACATATTGTCATACAGATAATTATTATATATATCACAATTATTAATTTAAATTATTAATATTTTTAATTAAATTTTTTTTTAATTAATTCTTTATATTTTTACTTATTCAGTCATTTTTTGTTTATATAAATAAAAAATGACTTGAATTAAACTATAATAATCTCAGGTATATGTCATGATTTAATTTTTATGACATGGACTAAGATGTTGTAATTCAAATTTTATGACATAGACTTGAAATGTTTATAATCTATATATAAGATATTGTGATCTATTTTTTATGATATAAACTAAGGTGTTGTGATCCAATATTTATGATATGATGATGTCAAATTTCTGTTATCATGATACAGATAAAAAAAGTAAGATTACATCTTGTAATTTATATATCATTAGTAGTAATAAAATTCTTGATTGCAGATTTATAAATAGATATAATATCCTTTAATTCATTTTTAGATTCAGAATCATAATCTTGCTTTAGCTTTTTTATATAAGTTTTGAAACTCTTACCAATTTCCTATATTAAGAGTTTATTAATAACTTGATCTGACTTAATATTACAATCTGCCTTCTCAATCTTTTACATTATAATTTTATTAATAGTTTGAGTTAGCATGCTCTTGCAAACTTGCATTATTATCATTTTATATACCACATAGAATTTTTAATTAAAAAATTAATATAATTAGGATATGCTATATGTATACTATCAAGTAAATAATATCTAAACATGCTATCACATAATATTATCAATAATACTATCATATATATACTATCAAAAAATATTATCAGATCATATTATTAATTTATTTTGCTCATAGTTAACCCTAAATTGTTAGTAATTATTAGCTTTACATAATTCATTTGAATATTATCTGAGAATAAGATATGTAGTGCCAAATTATTATTCTTACTTACTAACTTATCAAAATATAATTTTATTATATATATCTTTTATCTGTAATAATTATACCTTGATATCTCACTTTTTTTTTACTCAAAATAATACTTATTTAATGATTCATCAAAGTATAATTTTATATATCTTTTATTTATAATAATTATTTTTTGATGATCTATTTTTTTGCTTAAACTATTATTCATATCAAAAAATCTTTGGTATCTTATCAAAGCATAATTTTATATATTATATGCACACTCTATTTTAGAATATTAGCATTTCACTCTATTTTATTTAAAATAGTACTTATACTAAAAAATCTTTGATGATCTATCAATATATAAAAATGAAATATATCACATTTGACCTATTAAAGTGTAATTTCTGTACATAGTATAGTTTTACTTTGATGATTCAAAAAATATATTATATTTGATTCATCAAAGAGTAATAGTATAACTTTTCTATAATAATTTTACTTTGATAATCCAAGAATTTTTAGCATAAGTTATCTCTACTAGTACTATTTAAAGTATACTATATACACATTATATTTTATAATATGATTATTTTAACCTATTACTTACTCAAAACTATATCTTGATCAAAATTGCATAATATAAAAATAGTCATCAAATATCTTGTATATTTTATAATATAACTATTTATCTTATCTTATATATCAGATTTCTAAGATTATGCAATTTTATAAATTTTTGTGATTTATCTTATCTCTATATTGAAAATACTTATCCAGAACTTTATTTTGATCAAAATTATGTAATACAAAAATCTCTTTATATGATTCAGATATTAAAATATTAATTTTTGATTTGAATTTTTCTTATACTTATTTGTAAAAGATGATAAAAATCTCTTTACCTAAAATGTATAGCTAGAGCTAGATAAATATAGTAATATACTCTCAGTTAGAATATTCTACTTAATTAAATCATATTATTTTAAAAGATTATGCATATTCAATAAGAGTTATAAATTGACTTTTTAATTCTTTTTTATGTAAGTAGTAGAAACTTTTATTTTAGTCTCAAAATTTTACTTGTATTCCAGAAAAGTAATTTTATCTATACTCTCATACTCTTTTTTTTTCTCAAGTTTGAAAAAAACTAATAGTTAGTTTATATAAAATATTCAGAGTTAAGTGATAAAGTTTAAATAGATAATCTTATTTATTTTATCTATATATCTCATAGTCAATCACTTTTTTTATCTATATTCCATGTATATCTCAATATTATGAATCATATAACTGTAATAATTAACAGAGTAAGAAAAATATATGCTGATAATGATAATATCAAAGTGCTTGTCATAATAGAAATTACTTTTACTTCTTTTATTGAAATCTGAGAATGTGATTTAATTAAAAAGTATATATTATTTTCTGATTATGCAAGATAAGAAGTTATATTTGATATTTTTTGAAGTATATTATTACTAGTTTTACTAATATTAGTTCTCTTATTTATCTTAAGATTAATCTTAATATTATTTTTTGATAGTTTAATAATCTCATTATTAGTATATATTAAGATACTATTATCAATTTTTTCAGTTTAATTCATACTTTTTCTACATATAAAATACTTGCTTAAATTTTGCTAGATTTATTAGATATATAAGTATTATTACTTTACAATACTATAAATATATTATCAGACTTGATTATATTTTTTTTCTCATCTCCACTAATTATTGCAAAGCAGATTGTATTATGAAATAATAATACTTGTGTACTTAGATGATTTTCTGATTTTAGATACTCAAGCTAATTGATTTTTGATTCTAATTTATTCTTTAAATTTTTTAATTCAGCTATTTTAGATTTGAGAAATATTATTTCAGATTTGTGAAATAAAGCACTACATATCTTATTTTTAGTTAAGTTATTTTAAATTAAAATCATATTTTTCTAAACTGAAGATAACTTACCTTCCAATATCTTGATCATAGACTTAAGTGATTTGATTTTCTTGGATTTTATAATATTCTCAGCTTTAAACTTCACAAGAGAAATATTTTATTAGTATTTTTAATTTGTAAATATCTAGCTTTATCAATGAGCTCAAGATTATAAGTATGTAATTTCTAAACTATAGTATTAGATCTACCTAGTTTCTAATTCCATTTTTTTTTTATTCTTACTATTTTCTTTCCTAATCCTATTTCTTATTTTATTTTAATTAATTAGCTCATAATATTTTATTGTAAGTATTTAATTCAGATATAATGTTTATATCATATTGCAATTTCTCCTCAATATTATATTTATTATCTATATTATTAATAAAATTTAATTTGTTAAAAAAATAATATTGAATATATTATATCTTTTTAAATATATATATATTTTAAGTATGATATATTATATAAAATATATATATTTATTATAATATATCAGATAGGATATATATATAATAAATAAGTATAAGATACGTATATTTAATATATTTTATTTTTTCTATATATTATATATTTTTTGTTAGATATAAATATCTTGTATTTATAAAGAAAAAAATACTATTTACATTTATTACTATACTTAGATCATATATATAATTTAATGTATCTCTATTCATATCTGAATATTATTTATATATTATATAATATCATAATATAAAACCAAGATATAAAATTTTAAATAAGTTGATAGATAAGTATAAAACATCAACAAAATATATTTATTAGAAGAGAAATCTAATAGAGTTCTTTGAGATTAATCTATATCTTACTTATATGATAATGATATTAATTCTAATTAAAATACTAATATATTAAATTCTGCTATAAACATTTTTCATATAAAATCTTAATCTTTAGATAGAGATAAAATTCTATTAATATGCAAATTATTAGATAATAAAATAGGTATTCAAGACTCTGTCTCTTCTTCAAATCATAGTATATCACAAGATTTTGTATAGTTAAATAAGCTAATAAAAATAAAGAGATCTAAATCTGATTGAATATTTAACTTATTTATTATTATTAAAGATCTAATAAAAAAAATAGATAGAAAGCTCTTATATTCTACAGATATATTAGTCTCTTTTAGATATATAGTAGAAAAAGATAAGAAAAATTTATTAAATTCAAAATATAAAATTAATGAGTTATAAACTTCAAATTTATTTATTCTATGATCCTTTAGGATCATCTTTTTAGATCTGCAAAGCAATAGTTCTTTGAGTTTACTCTTTATTTTCTTTATTAGATAATCTAATATAGTAATAAATAAGAGTATTAAGATTAGTGATAATTTTTATTACATCATATATTTCTTTCTCATATCTCTCACAATTTATACATTTTTTTTTAATAATAAATTATTAGAATCTGAACTAAAATTCACAGAAATATATCATTTTTTAAATGATATATTGTTATTCTTATTACTATTCATCTCTTGAGAAAGTTGATCAGATATCAAAGGCTTATCAATCTGAAATGCAATAGCATAATTTACTTTGAGTTTATTTTTTATCTTGTGCATAGTTACTAGAATAATATGATCCTTCCTATTGAAAGAAATTTTTAATTCATCTTTCTCTCAATCTATAATATATTTATATTTTTTGAGAAGTGAGTTTGAAAATATCAATATTAGTTTAGGAATACATATAATTATAAAATCTTTATATATAGTAAAATCTGGAGGGAATATTATTAAAAAATTATGAGCAATACTAATAGATTCTGTTAGAACTGTAGTAATTCCACTAAGATTATATTTTTCTAATTTATCAATTAGTTAATTTACATATTTACAATATCTTCTGATATAATTAGAGATTTAGTTCCACTATCTAGTACCAATACAAAAATTTTTAAGCATTTGATTTTAACTAGTATAGCTGCAAGACTTGTAATAGATTTTTTTCTTCAAATAAAGTCTATTTTCATAGAATTATTCAATATCTTCTCTTTTCTATCTAATTCTGAAATTATTAGAGATAGATCTTTATAATCCATAAAGTTAGATTTTGTGATAGAAAGAGGTATATGATCTAAAAAGTTACCTCTAAAGGGTCTGGATAGATTTCTAATCTTGATTTTAAGTTTCTTAATTCAATCTATAGGTATAATATTATTAAGTATATTTAGTACAATCTTTTGAAATTTATCAGAAGTGAAAGTATTCTTCTATTTCTTTTTATGAGATTTAGATTTTCTTTTAGTCTTGGATCTTTTAGACTTTACTTTTTTTTTGATTTAACAATATTTATAATTTTCATAATTTCAGTTTTAGTTAAGTCACTTTCAGAATCAGATTTTAATTCAGAATCAAAACTAGATCCAGAATTAGAATTAGATTCATTATTAGAAGAACTAACATCAGACTCAAAATCTAAATCTTTAGTAGCAAGATTAATCTTATCTTTTTTCTTGAATTTGCTTTTGTTAGAATATTTAGACTTGCTCTTCTTTTTATTTTTAAGATAATTGCAAGAATTATGATCTGTTTTACCATACTTTAAACATTTATATTGAAATAATTTTAAAATTGTATATATTACTCAAGCTAATTTTACTTGATTAATATCTAATTGTTCAAGCTATAATCTCAAATCTTTAATTAGATCATGATTATAATCTTCTCCTATATTATCAAAATTATTTAAAAAATGATTTATAGCAAGTTCATCTGCTTTTTATTTTTCTGGTCCAGAAGATTTCTTCAAAATTTACTATCCTTTAATAATAATTTCCTTAAAGTCTGT